AACAACCAACAACCAACAACCAAAAACACCAACAACAACAACAACAACAACAACAACAACAACAACAACAACAACAACAACAACAACAACAACAAAAACAACAACAACAACAACAACAACAACAACAACAACAACAACAACAACAACAACAACAACAACAACAACAACAACATAACAACAACATAACAACAACATAACAACAACAACAACAACAACAACAACAACAACACCAACAACAACACCAACAACAACATCAACACCAACACCAACAACAACAACAACAACATCTGTGAACGAACAACCCAGGCTTTGGTGCAACTACGAACTGGCCGTCTTTGCCAAAAGCTCCGGGGACGCGGCCGTGGCGGCCGTGAAGTTCGTGTGCCTGGCAGTTGAAGTTTTGCGAAGCATGTGGTGGAGGTTGCATAACTTGTGCCGGTGTAACCGTTTAACATTGGAGGTTTAACCATGAAAAAATGTGATTTAACCATGAAAAAAAAGGGGCTTAACCATGAAAAATGGGGCTTAACAATGAAAAGTGGAAGCTTAAACATGAAATACATGAAATTTTGCAATGAACATGGTGATTTTTCCATCAACGAACGCAGGGGTTTAACATGATTTAATATGGTGCAACCTCCCCTTCGTGGCATATGGTGAGTCTCCAAACCAACGTTTCATCATTGGGGTCCCACGCATTGTAGGTTTTCTATGTTCACATCGAGTTTTTTTTTGGTCAGCTAACCCCTTGAGGAATGCCCGATAGCAATATGATCAGAAAATGTCGATGTATGCAGAGTTTTTTCTGTGAAGAATCATTTAAGCCTGGTTGGTGGTTTCAAACATGTTGATATATTTTGTATTTACCATTTCATATATGGGATAATCCTTCCCATTGACGAACTCATATTTTTCAGAGGGGTAGGTATACCACCAACCACTTAAGCTCTCTTGGTTCTATGGGATCCACTGTTTCACACTGGTGAAGCCCATGGGTGGAAGAGGAACCCATCATGCCTTCTGCCAGTCGCATGCTTGAGATATTAGCGGAAAACCCCGTTGCACAGGCCAATTTTTTTTTCATTATCAGCATGTAATTGTTCTTGGAACACGTTCTTGGTGTGACGCCGTTTGACGAGCAACTCCGTGCAAATGGTAGTCGTGCAGGGGTCATCTACGCAGATGGAGCGGCTGGAAGCTTTACGGGTCGTGCAGCAACTCCGCTGTGCAGCAACTTCATGGACCCATTGAGG